CAGAAACCGAAAAGAATGGGTCGAGTAACGATCCTAGAAGAAGTGTCCACAACTCCAGCCTCCCCAGTAAAATCCGCCCGAAAGGCGACTCTCACCACCGCCGAGAGCCCATCGTCGTCAAGAGGAGATTTCGAAATTGTGGAGATTTTGGAGTATGTCGACGATTTGTATTTGCAATTGTGTGAGTTTTTAGGGGGTGATTCTCTATGAGAGGATACAATTAGGAGCGTCAGAATGGGGAGCCTCCGTTTCGACTGCTCCCCTGGAAATAAGGGGTGCCCTTCTAATACAGGAAATTTTTGCAGTGGACCCGGATCGCACAATAATGATGGACGATCGGAATAGCACGTCGAATACGGAGAATGCGAGCTCGAAATAATAATTTTCTGTTTTTGTAAATAGATTTTAAGCCCGCCAGACTACAAACTACAAAAACGACTGTTTCTAGGGTTCGAGAAAAAAAACAAAAAGAAATTGCCTCATGGGGGGTCGAACCCGGGACGTGTCTAACCAAAAGCAAGCACGTTGCCACTGCGCCATGCGGCCAAGACAAAGAGAGAAAGAGAGAGAGAGAGAGAGCGAGAGAGAGAGAGAGCGAGAGAGACAAATGCGTTCCACTGGAATTGCGCGGCTGTTCAAATTTTACATATTCGCTGCGCCTAAGCGATACGTAGCTTAACATTTCAGAGAAACGTATTTCTTTTTATCGATTTTCGTGATTTTTTCGATCAATTTTGAAGTATTTGATTTCAAAAAAATCTGATAAAAAACTGTTTTTCAAAAAAACCCATTTTTCGATTTTCTGGGAATTTCCAATAACTGCGTTTTGTCGAAATCAATCATTTCATGCAAATAACTCTGTTTTGCGTCGAAAGCAGTTAGAAAATCCATCAGATTTGAAACTATAGAAATTTTAAATTACCTCCGAAAATCGGAATAATTGCAGCAGAGCGCGCTTACTACTCTTCAATCGTGAACTCACACAAAATTTGCAGTTCAACCACGTGTATATTTTTGGAAATAATTTTTTATTATTGATCCACGATGACCAGTGACGGCCGCATCGTACCTCCAATCAACAAAAAGTTTTTCGGATTCGCTGTTATTGAGGAGGTATATATATGAAAAAAAAAACCGAATATCCAAAATAATTCGTATTTTTCAGAGTCTTAGAGAAGTTATAAATCGCTTACGTCGAGAATTTCTAGAAGAATTGGTTCGGGAAGCAGTGGCAATCTGTGTAGCCAGGGGAAGCAGGACTGTCAGCGCAGATGACGTCCATGAGGCTGAACGCCGTATCAGAGGATAATAGTTTTGGTTTTTATCTCCCAATTTTTTTTTTCGAATAAAGTGATTTTTAACCAAATATCATTATCAAGAAAAAAAAACGAAAAAAAATCTAAAAACCTTTTTTGAACTGCTCTCTAAAAACAGTGTAAACCATTAAAATTATCAATAGGGCGTAATTCCTCTACCTCTAAAAAAAGCAAAAAAGATTTGCCGCCAGCAGGGGTCGAACCTGCGACCTTGGGCTTATTAGACCCACGCTCTAACCGACTGAGCTATGGCGGCCGACGGCTGGAGTGGGTCAGAGGGCGTATAGGAAAGAGGGGGAGACAGAGGCGGCTGCGGCAGGGGAGGCGACGCAAACTGTGAGTAAGATGGTAAAACTAGGAAAGAGACAAGCAAAAGAGCGCATTTGAAAGCTGGAAATTTCGGTTTTTCTGCAACTCTTCGTGATTTTCACCGAAAAAAAACCGATTTATTTGTTTTCAATGAGCAAAATTCGAACAAAATTTCAATTAAAACCATCTGACTGCTGCTCTAAATCCAATTGCAGCTCCACTTTATCACTGGCCGCTTCCTCCGTTTCCACCTCTTCTCCCTTCACAAATCTCATGAGTAGTTCTCCCAATTTGGCCATAACTTGGAAGAAAATGAAGCCACAGAAAATGATGATGACTGGAATATGGAATTTATGGAATTAGCGAGAGTGCAGACGGTTAGACAGTCTAACTGTCTGCGTCTATTTTTTTGTATATCTATCTCTCTGGCCCCTCTCTGAGAGGGTGCAGACGACTAGACAATCTAACTGTATGCGTCTCTCTCTCTCACTCTCTCTCTCTCTTCCCCAAAATTCTGCGAGAGGGTGCAGGCAGCTAGATACTCTATCCACCTGCGTCTCTCTTTCACACTTTTTCCATTATCTTCAAATTTCAGCCTTTTTAGATTCTCACGACGAGCGAGAGAAGTAAGAAGGGACGGCAGACAGCTAGACAGTCTAACTGTCTGCGTCGACTTCTCTCGCTCTCTCTCTCCCTCCTTCTCTTCGCTACCATTTCTTATAACTCTGCAACCAATAGAGCTATCAAAATGGTACAAAAGGCAAAAATGGTAGAATTTTCCGTGAGACTAACCTGACATAATAATCAAGAACCATGTTGGCTTGGTCAACAAAAATCCAACCAGCGACGCTGCTTCCAGAATGTAGATCAAAGCGGCGATGACTTGACGATGAAGATGTGACCCCAGGAATGAGCCGACGGGGGCTGGAAAATTTGAAATTTGCTCATTGACTTTCTGCGGCAATGCAGTGTTTGCGGACTTGACAACAGATCTCACGACAATTCAAAAAACTGACCCATAGTAGCCACGACTGGAATCGTGCAAGTAAAATATTTCCAAGCAATATCGGAAATATCACCCATCTGGACAGCGCGGTAGTAGAAGCCAAACATTGACACGATTCCTGAAAAAGTTTATGAAAATTATGAATTAATACAGTAAGAAGTTCTGGAAACCTGGTTTTTTTTGTTTTCGTGGCGGGACCCGAAAATTGAAAAATTCTCGAAACCTAGTCATGATTATACTCATTCGAACCGCCTTGATGAGCTGAATCGATTGATTTTATTTTCGAAGTTTTAGGACGAAATTTGATCGAGATACGGTAGGTTATAGGATTTCGTTGGGGGACCCAAAAATAATTTTTTTTCTGAATCTGGTCATGATTATACTCAATCAAACCGCCGTAAAATTTTGATTCGATTGGTGCCATTTTCAAAGTTTCAGAACAAAAATTGATCGAGATTCGGTAGGTTTTAGGATTTCGTGGCGGGACCCAAAAATCAAAAAGTTTCAGAATCTAGTCATGATTATACTCATTCGAACCGCCTTGATGAGCTGATATCAAATTTGTTGTTTTGATGGACTGATTTTTGAATTCTAGACCATCAATTAACTATTGAAAACTGATCGGACAGAAAATTAGAATTCTTTGGTTTTTTTTTCGAGGTACCGAAAACCTTTTTTTCCCTGGAAAACCAGGAAAAAAAGCCGAACTGCACCTTACAGAATGATGGCCTATAAAACTCAGCTCGTGTAGTCTGCGTGGACTACATTTGAAAAATTTTTTAACTTTCAAAAAAAAAACATATTTTTCATCCGTTTTCGACCAATTTTTCGTATATTTGCCTTCAAAATTCTCAAAAAAAAAGTTTTCGAACCAGAACGATCCGAAAAAACTCCTCACCTTTCAAAATCATGGTCGTCGGTGTGGCAGTCTTCTCACTAACTCTAAACAGCAGTGTCAACGTGGAGAACATACAAATATCGATTCCACTTCCAGCAAACGCATCGAAAACCCCACCAATCACACCTGTTCCAAACAAAAGAACTCCTTTCCACGCACAAAATTCTGGAATCTTCACAAAAGTTGGTCGTTTTTTCTGGGCATTTAGGATCCCGAGGGCAAAGGCAAATGAGGTCCAAATTGACACGAAGAGCATCTTTTTTTGAGCACCAGTGAAGAGGGGGTCAATCTGGAAATGGAAAAGCGAATCCGCAGAGAAGCGAGAGTGTCTAGGTGTCTGCGCTCTCTACTAGAGCCAAAAAAACAAAAAATTACACAGTGAACTCCAAAAATGAAGCCTGGAATGGCACCGGCGATGCCAAGGATCACGGATCGTTCGTCGAATTTCACCTTCATGAACACGACACAGACAAGGGCGGCCATCATTCCTGGAAGGTACAAACTACAAAAATTGAGGATCCAAACCAGAATTGTGCAAAGAATTACTGTAGGATTACGGTAGTAACAATTAGCCAGGAATTTTGGCGGGGATTCAAAAATCCAAAATTTTGGCGGGAATTCAAAAATTCAAAATTTTGGCGGGAATTCAAAAATTCAAAATTTTGGTGGGAATTCAAAAATTCAAAATTTTGGCGGGAATTCAAAAATTCAAAATTTTGGCGGGAATTCAAAAATTCAAAAAATTTGGCGGGGATTCAAAAATTCACAATTTTTGGTGGGGATTTAAAAATCAAAAAATTTTTGGCGGGAATTCAAAAATTCAAAAAATTTGGCGGGGATTCAAAAATCCAAAATTTTTGGTGGGAATTCAAAAATTCAAAATTTTGGCGGGGATTCAAAAATTCACAATTTTTGGTGGGAATTCAAAAATTCAAAATTTTTAGTGGGAAATCAAAAATTCAAAAATTTTTGGCGGGAGCTCAAAATTGTGAATTTTTGAAATTCGAAAATCTAAGAAACCCTCACCAATCGATTGAATCATCAATGCAAAGTCCCTTGCTATCGACGGCGCCAGGTGCAGGACCAATGTCATGACGGGGAACGCCACAGCCCCAGCACCCTCGGCAGTCATTCCAGAAATAAGGGCTCCGACGACCATTGTGACAGGCATGTGCCAATACTCTGGATAGTATTGGAAGAAGTCATGCTTGAAAGCTGTCGCCCACCATATTGACTGAAAAGAAAAATGGTGGGAGTTTGAAAAATGATGAGATAGTTTCAGTGGTCTAAAAATGCAAAACTAGGCCATCAATCCGACATTATGTGGATCAATGAATTAAGACGGTTCGAATGAGTATAATCATGACTGGGTTCTGAGCTGAATGAATGTTTTGATCTACCTATGGGCTTTAAAAATTGGGCCCATCTACGAAATTCAAAAATCTACTGTATCTCGGTCAATTTTCGTTCTAGAGTATTTGAATTAGTACCGATCGGCTCAGAATTTTTAGGCGGTTCGAATAAATGTAATCATGACTAGGTTTTGAGAAATTTGGATTTTTGGGTCTCGCCACGAAAACCCAATAACTGCCGTATCTCGGTCAATTTTGATGCGAAACACATGAAAAATAGACCGTTCAACGCAGAATTTCGAGACGGTCAAAATGAATATAATCATGACTAGGTTCTGCAAAATTTAAATTTTTCCTATTTTTTGGGTCCAACCACGAAAATACAAAAGCTACTGTATTTCGGTCAATTTTGATGTAAAACACATGAAAAATAGGCCAATCAATGTAGAATTTCAAGACGGTCAAAATGAATAAAATCATAAAAATTTTTTTTCAGAAGTCAAGATTTGGGTCCCACCACGAAAACACAAAAACTACCGTATATCGGTCAGTTTTCATCAGATTTTGATGAGAACTAGTTTTCCTAAATCAGCACGTTGAGCTAGTTTTGTTGGGCCCCACCACGAAAAATCGAAGAATTGAAAAAAAAAAACTCACATGAATGA